GGCAGGCCGGGGCATAGTTGATCATGAACAACATAGAGTTGGGGCTGCCAGTGGGGTGCCAACTTTCCCTCCCCTCTGCGGCGGAAATTTCGCAACAGCACCCGCTCTCCGGGTAACAAGGGGAGGTGCTTTGCTTTCCGATCGTACCTGTCCTTGTCTCGCAGTCTGTTTGCTTTGGTCCTTGCTGCCACTTGTTTGTAGACTCTCTGCAAGGTCAGGTTATGCTGATGTACCCAGCCTACCAGGTCATGTCTCTGAGTCAGTGGTGGTGCTCTCACCGCAGTTTCAACAGGCAGGCGGGCATGCCGGCCAAACATTACAAAATGTGGGGTCATTCCAGTCGTCTCATGAGTGGTATTGTTATACATCTGGAGCAGAGAAGGCCAGTGTACTTGGTCCGCCAAGCTCAATGATCCTAGAAGAGACAACAGAGTCTTGTTAAATCTTTCACAGGCCCCGTTTCCTTGGGGGCTGTAGGGTGTGGTTCGGACCTACACACACCCATAAAGGCTGCACAGCTGTGCTACCAGGTTTGACTCAAAGGCTCCCCCTTGGTCAGACAGGATACGTTCTGGGCAACCCCATGGCTGGATGAGGTGTCGCCAGAGAACACGAGCTGTGGTGGCTGCCGTCTGGTCTTTTGTAGGGATAGCCCATCCATACTTTGTGAAAAGGTCAGTCATAACCAATAGATAAGGTTAAGTGTCGCCATGCCGGCCAAGAGACAGGTAGTCGATTGAGACCATTTCCAAAGGGTATGATGTTAGGATAGGAACCAAAGGTGCTCTTACCTCTGGGCCCTTTTTCTGTTGGGTGCAGCTCGCACAATTGGACGCCCATGTCTGTAGGTCAGTTCCCATCCCTACCCAGTAGAAAGTATTCCTCAGCAGGGCATCAATCTTGGCTATGCCCATGTGTCCTGAGGCTTGGTGATACTTTTCCCACAGCTCCTGTGTCTTGCCAGTGGGCACCACAATTTGGGAGAGGTTCAGCCCAGTATGACGCTCTTGAGTTCTCCGCTTCAACACACCTTCCTGGATGTATAACCGACTCCATTCTCGCAAGAGACGTCTTACTGCAGGCTGACTGGCTTTCCTTTCCTCAGGTAGTGGGAAGTGTCCTCTTCACTAAGTGTCCACCCCTTCACTTGGACCAGTGCTTGGTCTCCTTCCTGACAATGCTTCCAATGGTCTTCAGTTTCAGGGGTGTCCTCCAATTCCACCACTGCTGTCTCTGCTTGGGTCTGCTGGGTGGGTTCTGCGTCTTGTGGCAACCTGGACAAAAGATCAGCATTCTGGTTTGCAGAGCCAGGGCGATATTTCAAGTCAAAGTCAAAGTTTGCCAGCTGGACTGCCCACCGCTGTACAGTGGCACCTAAGTGTGCTGTGTTCAGGTGGACAAGTGGGTTATTGTCTGTAAAAGCCAGGAATGTGTTGCCCCACAAATGGTCTTTGAATTTCTCAGTGACAGCCCACTTGAGGGCCAAAAACTCCAGTTTGAATGAACTGTAATTTTTGTCGTTCCTTTCAGTGGGGTGTAAGCTTCTGCTGGCATAAGCAATAACCCTCTCCTTGCCACCCTGTATTTGTGATAGCACTGCCCCCAATCCCCAATTTTGGAGAAGCCCTTCACAAATCTACGTTAATATCCTACAAATCCAAGGAATGACCGTACCTGCTTGATGGTTGAAGGGGTTGCCCAGTTCCTTACAGCGGCGGTCTTTTCAGGGTCTGTGGATACTCCATCCTTCGAGATGACGTGTCCGAGGTAGGTGACCTTTTTCCGAAACAAGTGGCATTTATGGGGCTGCAACTTCAGGCCGTGGGCGGCCAGCTTTTCGAAAACCTGCTCCAGGTGTTCAATGTGGGTGTCAAAATCAGGGGAGTATACTACCACGTCATCCAAATAGATCAGTAGAGACTCCTGGACCTGTCCTCCCAGGCAGCGCTGCATTAGTCTTTGGAAAGTCGCTGGGGCATTACAAAGGCCAAAGGGCATCCTCTGGAACTCGTAGAGGCCCATGGGGGTGGTGAATGCCGTCTTCTCCCGATCTTTTGGGTCCATTTCCACCTGCCAAAATCCACTGGCGAGGTCCAGAGTGGAGTACCAACCAGCTTGTTTGAGACTTGTGAGGGATTCTTCAATTCTTGGCAGGGGGGTAGGCATCTTTGTGAGTCAGATAATTGAGCCTTCTGTAATCGACACAGAAGCGCCAGGATCCATCTTTCTTCCTTACCAATACGATGGGTGCCGCCCAAGGGCTGGAGCTTTCCTTGATAACATCTGTGTCCAACATGTTTTGGATGAGGCTCCTCAACTCAGGGTAGAGGGTTGGTGGGATTGGCCTGTAGCGCTCCCGGCTAGGTGGTGCAGAGCCTGTGGGGATGGAGTGGAGGACTGCATCAGTTTGACCAAAATCCTCATCCACTGCTGCAAAGACATCCCGCCATCGCTGCAACAGGGAGTCCATTTTCTGCTGTTGTTCGGTCAACAATCCCTCCCCTTTTAGCAGGTTGACTGGATGCTGGCCTTCAACGGTGACCCGGTTCACCTGGACATCCACCTCCACTACACCTGGGTCTGAGGCTTTCAGTACAAGGTCCTTTTCTCCCCGAATCTGGTTTGGTTCAACCTGGAAGACATTAGCAAGCGGGCGCCGTTGGGGTATTGTGACTGGGTAAGGATTTGGGTTACATACCCTTATGGGGAGCCGTCCTTTCACCACCCAGGCGACGGTGTGGGCTACCTGGCACTCGTCATCTCTTTCTGGTCCTTCCACCAGGGCACACAAATCTGACTTGATCTCCACCCCATACAGCTGTGTCCAGAGCACCATCTCGCTGTTTGGAGGCACAACCACTGATTCCTGGCGGGTCAACCTGGCCACTCCCACCGGTCCATCCGAGGAATCGATTTGTGACACCTTTTGGCAGACAGCAAAGGCACGTTCCCACTCTCCTTTGGCTTGTTGGGACATGGTGGCTCCGAATGCAGTCAGCCCGGGGTGGACACCCTGAAACAGTTATTTCCAGCAGTGTGAAATTACATTCATCCCTACTATACCTCTTTCCGCCTTCAGACACTCATCTTTGACAATGATGACTCCTTTTCCTGGCACAGTGACTCCTCCCACTGAGAAATCCAGGATGGCGTACCCGGTGTAGGGGATCTTTAGTCCATTGGCTGCCTTGAGCGTTAGCCAGTGCAGATCTTGTGGGTTTCTTTTCTGTTCTCCACTCAACCATTTCTGAAAGAAAGTTTCACTAAACAGCGTAACTTGTGAGCCTGTATCAAGCAAGCAGGGCAATTTTACTCCTGCTACTAGTATGTCAACCCCTGGGCACTCCCCAACAATAGAGGGCCTGTCTGCTTGGTTTCCCTGATTCTCCTCCCCAACCACATGGCTCTCAGTGGCTGAGGCTGTTAGTTTAACGGCCCTCTTACATGCTGGCAGTTTCTCTGAATATGGCCAGCCTGCCCACAGCCTCTGCAAATAGGTTGGCCACGTTGGTCCCACTCGAACCTTTGTTGCCTGGGGGAGGATGCGTTATGGCCTCTGAGCTAGTCTGTTAGGGGGTGGGGTAGAGTCTCTGTGCCCAACTGGGGCATTTTGTGGTGAGAGTTGGCGTCTGATCTCTTCTGTAAGAGTCTCTGTAATAATGGACAGTTGGTCTTTCATTTCTTTCCTGAGTTCAGTTCTTACTGTTTCTCTCCATTCTTCCAGGCTAGGTGGTGCCATGGCCGGTCGTGGCTGTGGCACTGAAACACGTGATGCACAGGCAGACTCCATCCTTAGTTCAGTTTCTAATGCTTTAACTTCACCTGACACCTCACGGAAGGACATTGTAGGATTTCTACGCACCTGCCGTTGAAGTTCCTGTTGTACCATACCGGGCTTCAAACCAAGGACAAGCTGGTCTCGGATAGTCCTCTCATCCTGGGCTGAGCCAGCTGGTTCCACTTCTTCCCATTGGTGGAATAGTTCACGGAGCCGTAGGAGGAAAGAAGCAGCAGTTTCCTCTTCCTGTTGATAACATTTGAAAAACTGCGTCCGAAGCTGGGCTACTGGGGTTACACGTCCATACAGTCTCTTTAACTCCTGCAGTATGGCTACGCTACTTGAGAGTTTGTTGGGGTCAAGCAGCCGCATCTCCCTTTTTGCGTCACCCTCAAGTGCCCCAAAAATAAAATCAATTTTCTGTTCCTCATTTAACCCTTGTGCCCTCAGCATTGCCTGAACCTGCCCATGCCATTCAGACACATCTTGCTTCGGTCACCATTGAACTTTGGGATCCATGGGACACCCATAAACGAAGGCATCATCATTGCATTTACCACAGGCTGACTATTTTCTAGCCTGCCCCCATTTTCTGATGACCCACTGGGCCTTGCAGCTTCATATTCTTCATCTGCCATTCTGCACTATGGTGTGGAAAAGGAATCCTGCCGACAACGCCACTAATGTAACAGCCTAGTGAGGCCTGTTAACATCACATTTATATTAAAATATTCGGATTCCCGGCCACACCAATACAGCGAGAAGGACAGCACAATAGGTGTAAAATGGTTTATTTGTACAAAGTTACTTTAAAAACACTCCTTTGATAAATACTTAAAATAACGTAAGGTTAAAATAATGTTCAATAAATATAAACCAGTTACTTAAGAATTACAGTTCTAGCAGGGGCTGATAACATTCTGAAAGTCCTGTCCGCTTGGAAGCGAACTCAACTCCGGGTTTTTGCCAGGCAGAAGTGCAAGGTTCAAGTCCCTTCCAGGAAATACAGTGCCAGGATTTCCACGTTGCCGGCCCGCCGCACTCTGTCCGTCAGCCTCTGGTCGCGGAGCCCTCGGTAAACAACAAAAGGAGACTCAGGGGAGGAGACAACAATGTAACTTTCGTGACGTAAAACTAGACGCCGAAAAGCAGGAGAAATAGCCACTTCCCTTTATCTGGAGTTTGTTTCAGCGTTGAATCCGATGGTTAGAGGAGGGTCCGGTCTGATCTGCGGCGAGGTAAGGAGGAGCAGGAGGGATCCGATCCGGTCCGATTTGCTGCGAGGTGAGGAGGAGCAGGAGGGATCCGATCCGGTCCGATTTGCTGCGAGGTGAGGAGGAGCAGGAGGAGGGATCCGGTCCGGTCCGATCTGCGGCGAGGTGAGGAGGAGCAGGAGGGATCCGATCCGGTCCGATCTGCGGCGAGGTGAGGAGGAGCAGGAGGAGGGTTCCGATCCGGTCCGATCTGCGGCGAGGTGAGGCAGCAACTGTCAAGAGAAGAATAGCTGCCGTCTAGCAGGTGGTCAGCGTATTTATGGGGGAGTGGATTTGGCAACTGGCGAATGAGATCGCTGATTTTCACTGAGTGCCGGTGTGTCAATCAGCAGTGTCTGTGTCTTTGTTGTGACAGTTCGTTGAGGAGGTTAAACAAGCATGTAAATAAAAAGAGTTCATCGCTAAACAGCGCACAACATTAAAATCACAACACTATATGTAACATGCAACAATTATATAAAAGGTTTAACCATCCGTCCCACTGTCTAACATACTGACTTTATTCACTTTGTGACAATGGCGGGGCCTCCAACGGAACAGGACAAGGGTTTGGCAGGACCCCCTGCAGAAGAGTTGACGGCGGGACCCCCAACGGTACTGGACACAGGGTTGGCAGGACCCCCGGCAGGAGAGCAGTGGCGGGACCTCCAACGGCACAGGACACAGGACTGGCAGGACCCCCGGCAGAAGAGCCGTCGGCGAGACCCCCAACGGGACAGGACACAGGGTTGGCAGGACCCCCGGCAGGAGAGTAGTCGACGGGACCCCCAACGGGACAGGACATGGAGCTGGCAGGAACCCCAGCGGAACCTCCAACGGCACAGGACATAGGGTTGGCCGGACCCCCGGCAGAAGAGTTGTCGGCGGGACCCCCAACGGGACAGGACACAGGGTTGGCAGGACCCCCGGCAGGAGAGTAGTCGGCGGGACCTCCATCAGCACAGGACATAGTGTTGGCAGGACCCCCGGCAGAAGAGTAGTCGGCGGGACCCCCAACGGGACAGGACATAGAGTTGGCAGGACCCCCAGCGGAACCTCCAACGGCACAGGACATAGGGTTGGCAGCACCTCCAGCGTAATCTCCACCGGCACGGACATACGATTGGTAGGACCCCCGGCAGAGGAGTAGTCGACGGGGCCTCCAACGGGGCAGGACATGGAGTTGGCAGGACCCCCAGCGGAACCTCCAACGGACCAGGACATTGGGTAGGGACTTGAGACGTGACTCGAGAGGGGACTCGAGAGGAGACTCGAGAGGGGAACCAAGGGGGAACTCGAGAGGGAACTCGAGAGGGGACTCGAGAGGAGACTCGAGAGGGGAACTAGAGAGGGGACTCGAGGAGGGACTAGAGGAGGAACTAAAGAAGGGGACTCGAGAGGGGACTCGAGAGGGGAACTAGAGAGGGGACTAGAGGAGGGACTAAAGGAGGGACTAGAGGAGGGGACTCGAGAGGGAACTGGAGAGGGAACTGGAGAGGGAACTGGAGAGGGGACTCGAGAGGGAACTGGAGATGGGACTAGAGAAGTGACTAGAGAAGTGACTAGAGGAGGGACTAGGGAATTGACTAGAGGAGGGACTTGAGTAGGGACTAGAGAAGGGACTAGAGAAGGGACTTGGGAAGGGACTAGAGGAGGGACTCGGGAAGGGACCAGAGAGGGGACTAGAGAAGTGACTAGAAGAGGGACTTGAGAAGGGACTAGAGATGGAACTCGAGAGGGGACTCGAGAGGGGACTAGAGATGGAACTCGAGAGGTGACTCGAGAGGGGACTTGAGAGGTGACTTGAGAGGGGACTCGAGAGGGGACTCGAGAGGGGACTTGAGAGGGGACTCGAGAGGGAGCTGGAGGGGTGACTTGAGAGGGGACTCGAGAGGGAACTGGAGAGGAGACTTGAGAGATGACTCGAGAGGGGACTCGAGAGGGAACTGGAGAGGAGACTTGAGAGATGACTCGAGAGGGGACTCGAGAGGGGACTCGAGAGGGAACTGGAGGGGTGACTTGAGAGGGGACTCGAAAGGGAACTTGCGAAACAGAAAAACAAAGGAGCTGATTGTGGATTACAGGAAGCAGCAGAGAGAGGGACACGCCCCCATCGCCATCAATGGGACTACGGTGGAGAGAGTCAGCAGCTTCAGGTTCCTCGGGGTCCACATCACTGAGGACCTGACATGGACTTTTCACACCACCACCATCACCAAGAAAGCTCGACAGCGGCTCTTCTTCCTCCGCAGGCTGAGGAGGTTCAAAATGGATTCCAGGATACTCTGCAACTTCTACAGGTGCACCATAGAAAGTATCCTGACTGGCAGCATCACGGCCTGGTACGGCAGCTGCACCGCCCTTAATCGTAAGGCTTTACAGAGGGTGGTGAAAACTGCAGAGAACATCACCAGGACAGAGCTGCCATCCATGGAGGACCTTTACTCCCAGCGGCTCAGGAAGAAATCCCTCAGGATTATAAAAGACCCCCATCACCCCAGCCACAAACTGTTCAGTCTGCTGCCGTCTGGCAGGCGTTACCGCAGCATCCGGACAAAAACAACCAGATTCAGAGACAGCTTCATCCCGCAGGCAATAAGACTGTTAAACAACTGAACTGCTGAAACAATTTCATAACATTCATCTGCTACTTATTACTAATTATGTATCTATTATCTAATTTATCATTCCAATAACTTGTATAGAGACTCGTATTGCACTATTCCACTTTTTTTATTACTTTTAATATAGTATATTTTAATAGTTTTAATATTGTCTGCTTATCTGTATTATTGTGTTGCATTGTTGGAGAAGCCTGTGACCTAAGATTTTCAACGACATAATTACTCTGTAGCTATGTTATTTGACAATAAAGAACCTTGAACCTTGAAGACTAAAGCCCCCTAACTGAATAGCCCTCGAACTGAACGCACTCCTTAGGCTCTTGGGCACAAAGGAGGGGTTCGGCCAGAGTGTCGCCCCGCTCTGGTCACCCCGGATCAACAAGCAACTCGGGTGCACCGATAGAGCGGTTTACTCGGACACTCTCTTGGCTGACATTAAGGCAAGTAGCAATGCTGTCTTCCACGACAGTGCTTTCAGGGAGGAGAGCTCCAGAGGCTCAAATCGTTCTGTGACCATTGCCCCATGCACCAACGGCAGGTACCACTGTGGGGCGGTGGCGTGCACTATTGGGCACAGCCTCCTGACCCCCTGTAAAAACCGCGACATCAGTGGCTGAGAAAAGGCTGACCTGCCGTCAAATCCCTCATGACAGGATGAGATGGCTGCTGCATACACTTTCACTGTGGAAGGAGCAAGCCCTCTGTCCACCAGTAACTGTAAGTAGGATAAAATAGAGCCCAACTCACAAGATAGGGGCTCTATTCTCCGCTCCTCACACCATCGCTGGAATCCCAGCCACTTTGGCCTGTAACAGGCTGTGGTGGATCCCGCTCTAGCTGCCTGGATAGACTGAATAACACTGTCAGACAATCCACCCTGTCTCAGCCTGTCCCTCTCAGGAGCCAAGCCTGGAGAGGTTGGCCCAGAGTGGGTAACGCCCCGATTGCACCAGCCTCTTGAGACATTGCCCCCCAGAACTGGGGAAGCGCCCAGGGCTGGCCCACCTTCATCTGTGTCATCTCTGAGTACCACTAGGATCCCCAGGAGAGGGAGAATGAGACGCAACGGTGAGCAGCTTTCTTGGCCATGGCTCGTGTGCAAACGCATCCACCCCAAAGGGCGGGTCGTCGCTCAGAGCCATGGAGAACCACAGGGCACAGTGGCTGTTGCGCCAGCTGGCAAACAGGTCCCCCTCTGCTCTCCCGAACTGGGCCCAGACCTGCTTCACCACCTCCGGGTGAAGCACCCACTCGCCTGTTCATCACTGTTGTGAACGCAGTCCGCACCAAAACATAGGAAGCGTAGTATTTACGTGTCACAAGAACGCGGGTGTCTTCATTTCTTTAGTGAAAGAGGGAAGCAGAATGATGTGTTGAACACAGGTTGAACAGTGTCTTGTAAAGTAATAACAACTATCAAACTAAAAACTATACATAAAAGTCAGAGCCACCTGCCGTAGGTGAAACCCCCTCCTTACTGCAGAACGTCTCTCATTATATGTGTTATAATGTTTTTGTCAGGCCGATTGTCGAACCTCAGATTGAGGAGGAACAATGCGGATTCCGTCCTGGTCGTGGAACGACGGATCAGCTTTTTACTCTCGCAAGGATCCTGGAGGGGGCCTGGGAGTACACTTATCCGGTCTACATGTGTTTTGTAGACTTGGAGAAGGCGTATGACCGAGTTCCCAGGGAGTTACTGTGGGAGGTGCTGCGGGAGTATGGGGTGAGGGGGTCTCTACTCAGGGCCATCCAATCTCTGTACTCCCAAAGCGAGAGCTGTGTCCGGGTCCTCGGCAGTAAGTCGGACCCATTTCCGGTGAGGGTTGTCCTCCAGGGCTGCGCTTTGTCACCAATCCTGTTTGTAATATACATGGATCGGATTTCGAGGCGTAGTCATGGGGGAGGGGGTCTGCAGTTCGGTGGACTAAGGATTGCACCACTGCTTTTTGCAGATGATGTGGTTCTAATGGCTTCATCGGTCTGCGACCTTCAGCACTCACTGGATCGGTTCGCAACCGAGTGTGAAGCGGCTGGGATGAGGATCAGCACCTCCAAATCTGAGGCCATGGTTCTCAACAGGAAACCGATGGACTGTCCACTCCAATTAGGGAATGAGTCCTTACCCCAAGTGAAGGAGTTCAAGTATCTCGGGGTCTTGTTCTCGAGTGAGGGAACAATGGAGTGTGAGATGGGCCGGAGAATCGGAGCAGCGGGAGCGGTACGACAGTCGCTTTACCGCACCGTTGTGACGAAAAAGGAGCTGAGCCAGAAGGCAAAGCTCTCTGTCTACCGGGCCATTTTCGTTCCTACCCTCACCTATGGTCATGAAGGATGGGTCATGACCGAAAGAACGAGATCGCGGATACAAGCGGCCGAGATGGGTTTTCTCCGCAGGGTGGCTGGTGTCTCCCTTAGGGATAAGGTGAGAAGTTCGGTCATCCGGGAGGGACTCTGAGTTGAGCCGCTCCTCCTTCGCGTCGAAAGGAGCCAGTTGAGGTGGTTCGGGCACCTAGTTAGGATGCCACCTGGGCGCCTCCCTAGGGAGGTGTTCCAGGCACGTCCAGCTGGGAAGAGACCAAGGGGTAGACCTAGGACCAGGTGGAGGGATTATATCTCTTCGCTGGC